CGTGAGCGCATGGCATACCCTTTTCCCCCATGCGCGCTGCGAGTCTCCGGCAGTGGAAACTCCACTGTTATTGACGGTGTGACAAGAGACGAGATGGAGTGTGATCCTTGGATGAAGGTCCCCCCGCTCACTGATGCTCCCCTGGACTCGTGGAAAGAGCATGAATGGGACAAAATGCTCAGGGAGTGTCCGTGGGCGGATGACTACAAGTTCGCTAGCGTGTGCGAGTTTGGGAGTTTCATTCCTGTGCCTAGAGATGTGCTGGGTTCAGCTCGGTGCCGTTGCTTAAGTGCAAAGCTGAATATTCCTCGTCATCAAAATGTGTTGGCCTGCAGTGTCGTAACTGCTTCGCCGCGCACATGGTCCCGCTCGATGAAACACGAGTTGCTTGCCTATGCACGACATTCCGAGTTCCTCGATCAATACCCGTTGCGCTCTCCAGGGCTGTCGCCTCGAGCAGTTTCCTACTGCCGCGTTAGATTGCGTCTCGGAAAGTTATTCTTATCTAGGGTCCTTTGCATCGCGTGTTCGAATCGGAGTAGGACCTTGACTGACGCTGTGGTCTACGTGTCCAGGAATGAGTTGCACCTCGGGAGAGACATTATCGGTTTGGTCACAATAGAATACGAATGGACATGGGATTTGGTAATCGGGGGTAAGGTGGACGATGTGGACGCTTGGCGTGAGGTTGAAGCTCAAGCGTCCTCTATACGGGATGCTATAGGGAGGTCTCTGGCCGGAAGGACCGGGTTCGTTCGCATGAAATATATTTCTATGTTCGCGGAAGATGCTCCAGTCGATGCGCCGCAGTCTCTTACGTTCGGGTCGCCTATTCGAACTTTGAATGAACGCATGTACTTACCGGCCTGTCGTCATCGGTAGAAGTGAAAGTTCTGAACGGATGTTACACGCCGATTTCCTTATACATTACACACATGAGCTCATGGTGTGTGCACCTATCTCTCCATCTAAGTGCGAGTTCACTYGCACTTGCTGTGTGCACCCCGACCATTCCACTTCAGTGGTGTGACCACCTGGCTCTCCATCTAACTGCGAGTTCACTCGCACTTGTGCTCTGAACCCCGAGCAATCCACTTGAGTGAATGTCTTGACGACTGCGTGTAGGCGTGGCCACGGCAGTTCCCGTTCACCAACTATGTTCAAGAGTGTCAGCGTGCCCATGTGTATCGTTTGTTATGTGCGCGTGGTGTGTAGGGTGCATAATGGAGGCGACCTTCTCCACACCACGAATCATGGAGTCGATCTTCTTGACACCACGGACCATGAGTCCCGAGACGCACATTCGCTTGGCAGAACCGTTTCCTCCTTGCGCGAGATCCGTGCGATATTTTAACGGTGTAACTACAATCCACGGAGGGACCGCAGAAGACTTCGACGAGGACCCCGGGATGACCGTCGTCCCGTGCATGGACGGGCATATTGACGGTTGGTGCGATGGGAATTGGGCCACGATGGAGAGTCGCTGCCCTTGGGCAAGCCAGTACAAGTTCGCTAACATGTTGGAGTTCGAGAACCTCATCCCGCTGTCTGACGCTGTCCTCGGACACAAGTTCCTTAACCATATGCGCAGAGCACTGGGCTGCATTAGCCACCATTTCAGCCGCCTCAAGTGCCACTACGTTAGGTCGTCGCCACGAACTTGGGGAGGTTCGTGGAAACAAGAGTTGGTGGACTGCGCTCGTCACTGCTCGTTCCTAGAGCAGTACCCACTGCGGTGCCCCGGGAATTCGCCACAAGCTGTGTCATACTGTTGTGTGCGATTGACTGTGTCCGGGTCTGATTTCGCCAGAGTTCTATGTGTCGTTGCTTCGAACAAGAGCAGGAAACTCGTCGATGCAGTTGTGCTTGTATCATGCAACGAGGTGGTAATTGAGGGGTCCAAATTTGTGCCGACGCGCGGGCCTGCGCGTGTAGATGGGTGGCGAGATTTGGTGATATCAGGGCGGGTCCAAAACTTTTCGTTGTCGCCTGAGGTTGAGGAGAAAGTGTCTGACATACGGGACTGTATAGGGAATTCCTTAGCACGACCGGGAGTGTTCGTCAGGATGAAATACATGTCCGTCTTTTCGGAGAGTGCATCAGTCGACGAACCCTAAATCCGCGTGCACAGATCATCAATGAATGCTTTGTATGGCTTCGGTACACGACCTCGTCCACGGGGAACCCCGAATGTCACTGGATCTGGACGTGTGGTCAGACTTAAGTGAGAGTTCACTCGCACTTTGCTTAAGTGAGAGGTCACTCGCACTTTGCTTAAATGAGAGTTCACTCGCACTTTGATTAAGTGAGGAGCTTGTCGATATATAGTGCGAGGCGTGATGATTTAGTGTTGGCCCCACCAGGGGACTTATCATTGGCCAACTTTATTTACGATGGTCTACACGTCCGTATGTGTCGTTTGTGTGTCCGTGATGTGTAGGAAGTGTGATGTCGTTGAGACCTTCGACAAGCGTCAGCATGAGTCCCGAGACGCACATGCGCTTGAGTTCCGAGAAGCACATGCGCTTAGCAAAACCGTTTTCACCTTGTGCGAGATCGGTGCGGCATAAAGACGGTCAAACGTGGATCGACGAAGCAGCCAAGGAGGACTTCGACGAGGCCCCGTACATGAACCGACATCTCGACGAATGGAACGATAATGATTAGAAGGCGACGGAGCGTGCCTGCCCTTGGGCAAATCATTACAAGTTTGCCAACATGTTAGAGTTCGGGAGCCTCATTGCACTGCCTGATGGTGTCCTCCAGCGAAAAACCCTGGACGATAAGGGTAAACTGATCCGCTACCGTACCAGCTTCAGAAGTCGCCTCGGCTGCGAGTACATCACATCTTCGTCATGAACTTGGGGAAGTTCGCAGAAGCAAGAGTTGGTGGACTGCGCTCGTCATTGTTCATTCTTGGAACACTACCCACCCCGTTGCCCTGGGACTTCTCCACAAGCTACATCATATTGTTGTGTGCGGTTGACTGATGACGGGTGTCCTTTCGCGAGAGTGCTATGTGTGGCTTATTCAAACAAAAGTAGAAAACTCGTGGATGCAGTTGTGCTCGTGGCACGGAACGAGATGGTACTTCAGGGATCCAAGTTCAAGCCCGTGATGTCTCGCCCCGATGTAGATGGGCGGTCAGATTTCGTGAGAGCAGGTCGGGTCAGATGTTTATCATTGTGGCATGAGGTGGAAGAGAAAGTGTCCGACATACGAGACTGTATAGGGAATTCCTTAGCACGATCGGGAGGGTTTGTCAGGATGAAATACATGTCCGTGTTTTTAGAGAATGCAACTGTCCACGAACCGCAGAGCCACGTATATGGATCATCTATGAATGTCATGTATGGTTTCGGTTCACGACCTCGTTCGCGAGAAACCCCGTATGTCACAAGATACGGACGTGTGGTCAAACCTTGTGTTTAAGGAAAAACATATTAAAATACAATCTTGTGGAACATGATGTGCATGTGCACCTTGAAATTGTGAATATTACAACTATTGCCTCGCGCATCTCTATCTACTACTTCATACATGTTGCCTCTCGCACATATTGCAACTATTGCCTCTCGCACCCTCTATCTGCTACTTATTTTTTGCTTCGAATGTTTTTCCAGAAACAACACCTGTCTACTTTGCAATGTGCGGTTCAGTGATTTGAACATTTCTCGCAACTCTGCGTGCGGTGTTTCTATCTATGAAGGTGCAATGTTAAGAAAATACTATGCAAGTTGCGAGTGTTTCTATCTTCACGTTGCGGTGACAAGAGTAAATGTTTTGAATGGATGTTATGTATCTTGTTCATGCAAAGAAATGACACGCAGACGACCTTGCAAGTGTTTCGATCTGCGATGTTCATGCCAATGTCTTACAGTCCTATACATGCTCATGTCAAGGAGGGGATCGATGTTTGCGATGACAAGAGTGAATGTTAGGAATCTATGTTATTGATTTGTTCATGCAAATGACAAACCAACATCCGTATTGTATCACCGCGCTAATGATGTGCGTTCATGTTGTCCATCTAAATGAGAGTTCATTCCGACTTGTGGTGTGTACCCCGAGCAATCCACTAGTTGTCCATGCAAATGTCCAAAAACTGATAACCTGCGGGATCTGGAGTTCAATTTTGTTTCTTGAGTGCGAAACTCTGCTTGAAACAGATCCAAATCCAACAAGAATTCCCACCACAGACCAAGGTTCCCTTAGAGTGCGTGGCCATCCGCACAGACAGCCAACGACTGTTTGACACTTGTTAAAGGTGCTTAGTCACCAAACCGATATCTGCGAATTGATTCGCTGTTCAACTAGTATCCGTCAATGCCTTTCCAGGTTAAAGCAAG